GCTGTAACACACTGCCTTACAGTGTGGTACATTAGAATATCTTAAGTGAAATTGTGTTATTCAGCCAACAAGTTACGTGTTTATAGCACTAAATGTAGTAAAGGTTTTCAAGACAGCTGTAGGAAATTAAGGTACTCTCTTCATGCTGTTAATGTACAGCAAAGACTAAAGCAACAAGAAGTTTGCTTTATAAAAATAAATGGAAGATTACCTATTCTGACAAAATGCCCTCTCTCCAGGCAAATGACATAATGATTTGTGACCCTCTCTTACTTTCAAATGACTTGTCACTAACTCAGCGTAAAACTCCTAAGTTACTACCTGTAGACTAGGGGAATGTGTTAAACTAATGAAATAGTTGTAACAGGTTATGGTTACAGTTACTGTCTCTGTAGCTCTTATGAGAGAAGTTCTAAAGATTATACAAAAGCAGCTAGCTTGACTTCCTGCCAGAGCTCCAGATCTGAAAGCAGGCAAGATCTGGATGGAAATGCTGGAGAAGCATCTGTGACAGAAGAGCTGGAGCTGCAATTACTCTTCCTGGAGAAGAGAAAGCTCAGGAAGGTCTTAACCTTGTGTACACACACCTGATGGGAGTGTATGTCATGAGTGGTTTAGGTTGCTTAACCAATCACTGTCAAAATTATTAGCAAAAGCAGGTTTAATATAAATTCAAAAAAGCATGACTTTAAATAGTTTGATGGTAAGTTTCACTCTATTACTTACTAGAGAGATGAAGCATACAAAGGAAAATTGAATTAGGATCAATCTAAATTTATTTACAGAGATGGAGAATGCAAAAGGGAGAGTGGGACTGCCTGCTGCGTCATGAGGTTCAAAAGGACCCCTTTACTTTTGTAGGAACATAGAAGATAAGGTTTGTTGGTAATTACACACTGAGCAAGAACAAGACATAGATTGAGATGGGGACATACAAAGAGAGGGCAGCACTTTTCCAGGACCAAATATCCTTGTTCTGGCTTCTGGAAATAAAGCACAACACAGTACGGAGTAGGCACAGGAATGGGATTCTGAGGTATGCCCATGACTCCATGAAGCTCAGGTACACATGTGCCCCAGGACCTGGATACCACATCAGCTGGATCAACCTCTCCCTCCCGCCCCTCTCTCCCTTCCCTTTATCCAAACCCCACTGGTGTGGCTAGGAGATCAGGGACTAACATACCAATTTCCATGCTAAGTATGGAATTTTGAGGGTCCTCTGGCTTTTGTGATTCTATTCAGCCATAAGCATCTATGAATCTAGACTGCTTTCTTCTCCCTACAGATGGGACACCATAGCTTTCCAAACTCCTGACAGAGTATGATTGAGTCCAGTCTTAGTTATGGACTTTGATTATCTGTAAAGGACTTGGCAGCACTCAATCATTGACTAGTTTAACATTTATGAAGAGATTCCATAGGATTTTCTCAACAATAACTTAATTATAGATCTGAGATGGCAACGCTTACACTGTATGTGCTACAGGGTGTTTAAATTAATTGACGGATATGTGTATACACACAAAGATAAAGATACCTACTCAAAGTTCCCCTTGAGTTCAGTGAAATACTCATATTGAATGAGTACCTTTTGCTTTTTTGAAGGAGTGATGTTGGAGTCTGGAATACAGAGTGTGTGCCCTTGTTTCTGATACTTAGTTATAAGATCCAGAAAAACATTGAATTTCATATAATATGAAATTCATGAGCATGTTTTCATGGTGATACATGAAAACAAATGTTAGATGGAAAAAGCTAAAAGTGTAAGTGTGTAGATTAGAAAGTTTTTTAAGTCATTGGGTGAAAAAGTCAGTTTAGAGAACAGGAGACAAAATGGAGGATTTAGGGTGTTGTCTCTTGTCCCTTCTTCTTTCTTCTCCATCTTCTTCTAGAGGTTTTTGGGTAATAGTAGGTGATTGGTTAGAAAATGCCACAGTGCATCACAGAGGTGATGGGTCATTGGGTCATTAAGAAAAATAATATACGTGTCTATTGTTAATTGGGTGAAAATAGGTATAAAGATAAAAGAACTGCGTATTTTGGGGCCATTTTGTGCATCAGCCACGAAGCGTGCCTTGTTTGTACCATCAGAAGAAAGAAATGTACCAGATTGCAAAGATTAACCTTGTATAGCCAGCCTGAAGAGACCTGTCAAGTTTTGTGATGATCTTCTAATAAACACGAGAAACAAGATTCTAACGAGCTCGGGAGTTTTCTTCGAATCATAAGAACTGAGATAAGCAGGGCTCCCCACGAGGGAGGATCCCAAAAGAATTCAGTCCAAAGGAGGCTGAGAAATCCAAGAATAAAAATACAGAAGAAAAAAGAAATAAAATACAGAAGAGATGCAGCAGAAACAGAGAAACAGAAAAAGGATGTTTTAGAGAGAAGTTACAAGTGAGGGTTGAGGCTTAATCAGTGTGGGGAACTATCAGCCCAGGCCCCATTGTCAGCTTTTGGCATTGATCCTCCGAGTATCACAAACCCTCGAGTTGGTCAGCTGTGGGAAATATTCCACCCAGAGGAGCCTGCTGTGGCTCAGGAGGGTGAAAAGAGCCTTACTTAGGAGCATCGTTTATAGGATTGCAAGATGATAGACTTTAGACATCGGTTAATCTTCATTCTGGCTGTAAGTAATTACTGGAATTCTTCAAAAGCCCAGTAATAATAATACTGTTCCACTGGCTATGGTTCCGGGATGTTTCAAGACTATTGGGGACGGCTGCTTATCTCTTGTGCCCTTGGTTAGGCATCAGAAGTTCCTATTTATGGAGTGTTTCTGGAAAGCTCAAGGGGAGTAGGAATCATTAATCAGGGCAAAAACCTAATGAGATCATAGAGCAGTCTGTGGATGAGGCAGAGGCCATGCATCACTGCAGGATATAAAGATGGATTAAGACTCAGTGGGGCCCAGTTAGGCAAAATACTGGAATACAGGAAATTAAGCAAAAAGCAGTTTAAACTAGAAGTGGTCAAATGCTGGATCAGGTTGCTCAGAGAATTGGTGGAATCTCCACACCTAGATATACTCAAATCTGTTGTAGGTGAATACTGCTTGCATAAACCAGAGGAAATTTATTAGGGTTTGACTTGTAATTTGTGCTAAAAGCTCTCTGGCAATAAGCAAAGTACTATTTAAGAGTAAGAATATAAAGTGGTGAGTGTGGTTATTTATAGTGAAGAAATACTTCTTTTTACTACTAAATCCATGACTGGAAGATTACCAATTCAGTTATACACAGCATTGCTGAAAGCTTCCATTTTAGAAGGAGCCTTTTATTCTTTTATTTCAAGAATGCAGCTTCAAGAATTGATCAGCTGAGGCTTGTGACCTTTAGTTTCTCTTCAGTATTTCTTAAAGGCACCAAAATTGCTGCATATAGTTGTAGCATCATGACTGTCAGATCATTTTCAAAGTTAACATCTTTAAGCCCTTTAAAATTCATACATTTAAACTTCTGAAACTGTTCTCTTGCTTGAAACTAAGGTGCTACAAACTCCCATCTTTATTCATGCCATTAATACAGTCATGGAAACAAGGGGAAGAAAGGCAGCAGGTGGAGAGTAGCTGCCCTTCTGGTTCTTTCACCCTGCTCTATGGTGGTGCATCCCCTGCTCCCTTTCCAGGCAGCGCTGTGATCTGACAAATGCTTGTTAGGCCTCAGCCATGAGTGAACAGCACTGGGGCTCAGCTCCTCTTGGGCTCATCAGAAATACAGTCTGCTTCCAGAAACAGCTGATAACAAGATCCTGTTTTCATAATGAACAGCTGTGGAAACTATTTCTCTCGCCTAACTGCTACATCATTGTTCTAACACTTTCAAAGAAAGTGCTGACCCAAACTGTGGCCAGGATGAAACATTGTTATGATTAAGGCCCGCTCTCTCAAGGCCCATAAACACAGGTAAAAAATAAGACTTCGTGAGCTCTCCTGAGCTGTTGCAGGCTGTAACCATCAACCTCAAGTCTGGGGCCTCTCAAAGCCAGCTAACTCTTCTTTCCTGTATTCACAGGATTGATGAAGGATACCACTGAGGAGATACAAGAGTATCTGCAGTGCGCATTTCACTACCTTTGAAAGGAATGTTTCACAGGTACCTTGCACTAACTCTTTGTGTGCGTGCGTGTATGTTACAGCAAATACGGGAGAAATTCTGCTTTCTTAGATGTTTAAGTATCTTAGACATCTAAGTAAATTAGGCCTGTAAGGTAAAGACATAAGCTAAGTTAAATGTTGTCAAGTGTTTGCTAAGTTGTGAAGTTGTTAAGATAGGTTAAGTCCTTTTAAGTGTTATTCCTCTGTTAAACTGTTAAATTATAAGTTATGAGTAAAGATTTAAGGTATAAGTTAAGCACAGTTAAGTTTGAGTGCTGTTGGGCTTTTAGGCTGTTTTACTTTATATCGTTGACCTTTCTATCCTTTTGTCACACACACCTAAACACACACACACACACACACCGCCTAAGTAATTTTGATTTTGATCTACTTGATTTTGATTTTTGCATTCCTTTTTCCGTAGCTGACATCTTATGCCTTAGCTGTCTTGTAGAGTCAGTCTTGCCAATGAACTTTGTCATGCTGTTGCTTAATATTAAATGTTTCTTTCTGGTGCCCTTGCCCTAGTGATTTTTAAGCCATCTCAAAACACTCATTCAATAACACACAACTCCATTCCTGCTCATGTTTTCCCATGCCTGCGATTCTGCAGGGGCAAATATCAAACTTGGTGCTTAATTTCTTATGTCAGTCTACAGTAAGGCTCCAGCTGCAGCCTCCCAGCTCTTCTGCTTTCCCAGAAGTCGAATACAAATTAACATAGTCTTCTGTAACTTTAGTTATTACGGCAGGACATTGTGTGAGACAGTGGCTGTATTTCCCATATGGGAAATTTCCCCTATGGGAATGTGACCTGAATTAGGTACAACACACCTAAGGACATTGCTACTGTAAAAACACCAAGAGAGTTAAGACCAAATCCACACCATGTGAACAAAGCATGAAAATTAAATATCTTTATTTGGACAATGTTCAGCTGAGCAAACATAAATAAAAAAATGTGAGCAGTTGTTTCTGGCTGAAGTTCCTCATCGGCTTGTGGGGTCACTTACAGAATGGCTGAAGGTTCCAAAGATTTTGTAAATTTGGGTAAAGTCCACTTATTTTGTAGATGCCCACATCCAACTCTTGGTATCCAATTTAAACAAGAAGAATTGCATTAATACAGCCATCATTTTCCGGATTGTTAGTTACCTGGGCATATTTTCCTAGAGAGAAAAGGGAATTACATGTGTAAAAAACCCTGGAAATCGTTCATATCGATTAGGTCTTTCTACGTTTGCAAATTCAATTAACAAGTCTCTGAAGTACAGGGACTCAAATGCATTTTGAAATCTGAATCTACCTTCTACTGAGCTGTAAACTTCTGTTCTCAAAACATTATATTCAAGCTCTTTTTCATAAATGTATCACTTAGAGTTCTGAGAGGATTAAAAAATAAAATTCTTAGGTTTCCTACTGTCCATGTGAACTTCTCTGTTACAGGAAGGCAGTCTGGTCTTATGAAGATCACAGAATATGTTGAGTTGGAAGGGATCCATCAGGATCATTGTGTCCAACTTCTGGCCCTGCACAGGACACCCCCGAGAGTCACACCATGTGCCTGAAAGCATTGTTCAAATGCCTCTTGAACTCTGTCAGCCTTGTGCTGAGACCACTTCCCTGGGGAGCCTGTTCCAGTGTCCAACCACTGAAGAACCTTTTTCCTGATATCCAGCCGAACCCTTCCCTGACTCAGCTTTGTGCTGTTACCTCAAGTCCTGCCACTGGTCATGAGAGTGAAGAGATGACGATCCACCCCTCAAATTCCCCTCGTGAGGATGCTGAAGACCAGAGTGAGGTCTCCTCTGCTCCAGGTGGAACAAACGAAGTGACTTCAGCCTCTCCTCATATAGTGTCCCCTCCAGACCCTCCACCGTGTTTGTGGCTCTCCTTTGGACACTCTCCAATAGTTTTATATCTCTCTTATACTCTGGCACCCAGAGCTGTCCCCAGCTCTCAAGATGAGGCTGCCCCAGAGCAGAGCAGAGCAGGACAATCCCCTCCCTTGCCTGGCTGATGCTGTGCCTGATGTCCCCAGGACACGGGTGGCCCTCCTGGCTGCCAGGGCACTGCTGGCTCATGTTCAGCTTGCCATTAACCAGGACCCCCACGTTCCTTTCCATGGCACTGCTTTCCAGCCTGTTCCCCAGTCCATACACACAAACATGGCTGCCCCACCCCAGGTGCAGAATCAGTTGATGAGGCTCCTACACAGAACTTCCACTGCAAACGTAATTCAATTGTTCATGGTTCACATGGTTTCAGACTTGTGGCATTGCTCAATATGACAGGCAAGCGATCTGAGTCTTTGTTCTGAACTTCATCTAACTTGATTTTGGAAGTGTGAATGGAACACCTAATATTAACACTTAAAGCTTCTATTTTTAGAGTTGCTATTATTGCTTCTGCTACAGCCCAAACCTAACTTTTAACAATAGATCAATTATGACTAGAGAATGAGGTCTTAAGAATATATTATACAATAAAGACTAAAATCTTTAAAAAGCAGCTCTGCAGTATAACTAGTTAAACTTACTTACCCCAGATAACTTTGCCCCCTTGTGTCACAAGACCAAGCTCACTCACGTTCACCTCAATGACGGTGCCCTTAGTAATTACTCCCAGTTGTGTATACAAAGGAGATGATGGATTCTTTTTTACACCAAGGATAGGTAGGCAAAATGTAGCTTTAAGTTCAGGGTGTGTCACATGTGCCTTCTTGAAACGTAAGCCCTGTTGCATAAAGAGTGTTAGAATGAGTTAGTATTTGCTTTAAGCTCTCACAACCGATCTAGTTAAACAGTTTTGAGAACTATGTCCTCATCTTTATATGTTTAGGGAGACTGGAAAGAATGAAACAACCTGAAATACAGAATGCCATCTACCTATTGTAGACTGCCAGACATTTTAAAACCTGATTAATGACAAGATAAAGCTTTCCAAGTATGTTTTCAGGATGTCAGTTTTTAGATGTAGTCCAACAATAATACTTGTTACCTTGGACAACTTCTGTTCCATGAAGGAAGTACAAAAAATATGAAATACTCATACAGCACTTTTATCTAGTGATCTGTACTTCATAGAGGGTACTTTACCATTATGTACCAAAAATTTTTCTGTGTCAAAAAAATTTTTCCAAGGCTGCTGTGTGAGACAATTAAACCAGTAGTAAAGTACAATTCAACAGGCAGCCTGCACAGTGACTGTGGATTCCTGTAAGGGAAAGGAATGGGTATTTATATAAAAAAAACCACTATCTCATTGAATCCGGCTTTTCTGCCTGTGTGCTGCCAGACTGATAGAGCCCAGGCACTGCCCCTGTGTAAGTAAAGCTGGAAGCACAGCTTTTCCCTTGCACACAGTCACAACTGTGCTTCAAGCCTACTTAGGCCAAAAGGAGGGAATTCTGAAGTCCTAGAACAAAGCAAGCTTCTGCAGTGCAGAGAATCACAGCAGATTGGAGAAGACACCTACATCTTTAAAAGCTATGCAAAGTACCTTAGATAAAGACTTTTCCATGCTAATTTGAGAGCTTGTAGCTTTAACTTACGGGACACATCTGAATTACAGGAATAAAAGCAGGTACTTCAATATAAACTGGGACTGTAGAGGCATCTCCCCACTCCCCATGCTATTTGAAGTTTATTCTTTTGCAAGGAAACTAACAGGAATGTTCTACATGAATAAAAATCAAGTGCATTATATTACAAGAAAGCTTCTTTACCACAGAAAAGCAAAGCAGTAAACCAAAAGAATTATTCCTTAAATGTTCTTTAAGGCTCCAAAACATTACCATTGGTCGAATGAATCGCTCGTACTTAGGAGGCTTCCTAGTAAAGCCATCTCCAACAAAACAAACTTTCGTAACCATCCTCTTCCATGCCTTCTTCTTTCTCTTTCCTGTACGAATCACCTTTAAAACTTCTGTTTCTCCCTGTGCACGAACCTTTGGCACAGGAACCTCCCACTTCCCCTGGAAGGAGGGTAAAACAAAAAAAGGTCAGTATTCTTACATGTCACATAGTTAAATGAAAGGGGGAAAAAAACCAAAGCATAAAATCACATTTCTGTAAAGTACAGGTAACTCATAGCCACTTACTTTAATTAGCACGTAAAAGTTCCAAAAGTCAAGATACTGCATACATTCACATTGTCCTAAACTGTTCAGTTACTCAAGATTTCATGTTTTAGTTACTCTTTGCTTGAAAGCTGATAGGTAACCTGAGCATCAGCAGTACAAAGTAGTCATTGTTACACATAATTTTAGGTATCTGAACTTTGATACATTTACTTACAGCTTTTTCTTTTCTTTTTTGTTTGATCATGTTAGAGAGGACCTTGGCCCGGGACTGGCCCTCTCTGTCCAGCAGGTATGCTGGTACAGCTCCTTTGGGTGTTTTTTCATCACTCTTCTGCTTTGTATTTCTCTTTTCATGCATTTTAATGCTGCAAAGAAAGAAAATCAATATTAACAGCACATGAAAAAAGGACTTATTTTAGATATACCATTTTAACTTAGTCTGTGCCTCCTCAAATTTTTCTTTAAGAGGTATTTGTGAAGTATTATGTATTTATATTTAAGGAATAACACTAAATAATTCTCAAGGTAAACTACTCACTTCACTTAATCTTGTCACTTCCTACCAGGACAGGAAGACAAGAAAGACATGCACCTCTTTAAGGAATTTCTGAGTGACTGAAAGTAAAGCCAACCACTTTGAGAGACAGTAGCCTTCCTCCGTACTGACAAAAAAAAAACATTCTACTCCTCTTCTGAGATTTGATAGCAATGCTTATATATGTGAGGAATGTGTGTTTTTAAAAGGGGACAAGTTTTGTTAATTTTGAGGCCATTTACTGGGTGGAAGAAATTACACACAAACTAATAATGGGTTAATAAACCCATTATCTTTAAAAGTAGCAGAGGAAAACGGCTATCTACACTTTGAAAGCAGCAAAAACAACACAGTGGACAGGTATGAAGTTCAGTAGCAATTAGTGAGACTGTTAAAGATGCCTAGGTAGCAGGATAATGTTTGAGCTATGCAAAAAACTGGAGCTATTCAGAAAAAAATAGTTACTTTGTAACAGGGTATGTGAATGAAGCACCTTTTAGAAATCAGAAAGTTCAGCAGAACAAGCTAACTGCAAATAACCACTGGCTATTTAAACAGACAGTCTTATAGAGCATGTGCAGGAAGCAGGGGTAGAAAGTTCAAGCCCGAGAAGACTTAGGAGCCTTCATCAAAAACAACCACACAGAGGCTGACGACCACCTCGTGGAGAAACCATGCGTGTGCTACAAGGGCTTACATAATCACGTAATTAGAAAATATGTTGCAATATGCAGGTTAGGAAAGTATAATGTGCACATTAAGTAAGAAAAGTATAAAAGCTTGTACTGCGCAAAGAATGGACAGGTGAATTTGTGGTGGAGCTATCCCCCTCATTCCTGGCACTGAATAAACAAGTATGTGCTCTGTAAGCCTTACATTATGGAGTACTGTTTTCTTGTCTAGTTTTCAGGCATCATTAACAGCTTTGATTTCAAGTTCTGGATAAAATTTCCAGAGAAATGCTTTTATTTGTCTATGCTCGACACTGCTGTTTATCCTTGAAAACAGGCCTCACCTTCTGCTTAAATACTGTGTATGCTACAGTACGTTTTCTATTAACCATTAAAAAATGTGAGCTGCCTCTTGCTACACTTAACACACCAGTTGATATAAAAGCTCCACGAAAATGCATTCACTTTTTTTGTTATGATTACACTAGTCACGGTTACTACTTATCAGCACTTCCCTCAGGGAGTACTTTGAGCAGTGGAATTGTTAACATTAATTTAAAATAGAGGGCCCCTGAAATGTGAAACCCCCCCCTTCCTTCTGCAGCCTGATCGCTATTGAAGACCATAACATGGGACTCAAGCAATAGCGAGCTCTTTGTAACAGTATCAACGTCTCGTCTCATCCTTCAAGAGTCAGGAAGACTCTTCAGACGCTATCAGAGAGGAAGCGGACACTCACGTCTTTTTCATCTGTATCTTCTCGGCATGCCGCTGCTTATGGTACAGCTTCGCCTTCAGCCCGATCATCTTCTTGGCCTTGCGGGACCGCTCGTGCGCCTCCCGGCCTTCCTTCTTCCTCCGCTTTTCGTGGTAGTCCAGCCGGTAGCCATAGCGCTTGCGGTGGAGCTCGATGTGCTCGTTCTGCGGCTGTGGGCACAAAGGCAGCGCGGTCAGCGGGCACGGCTGCCCGCGGGGCGGGGACGGCGCCTCCGCCACACGCGGGGAGGCGGCGGCCCGACGGTGGCACGTTCACTGCGGGGCCCGCCCGGCCTCCCGCAGCCTCGCCGTCCCTCCCGTGCACCGCCGTTTGCATCCCGCCGCCCCGGCCCCGCACCCCGTGTCCCCGGCTCCCACCATGGCGGCAGTCCCGCGGCCTCCTCCGCGGCGGAAAGGGCGGGCCGCTTGGGAAAGGGCTCCGGCTGGAAACTGTCCCCCGCGCCGCTTTGGTTGCTCCCGGCGGAGAGGCGGCGGTCCGCGCCCCTCGAGGACTTCGCGCTGGGCTTGACGAGGTCAGGGAGAGGGGGAGAAACGGAGCGGGAGAAGCCGAAGCGTCGCTTTTTGCTGCCTGGTCTGTCAGGCTGTGACGGGAGAGCGGAACGAGGGAGGGAGGTGAGGTAGCGGGGGAAGGGAGAAGCACGTTGCCTTCCGGGGGCCGTGCTGACAGGGCAGGGACCGCGCGGTCCCGGGCTGGGCCTGCTGGGAGGTCCAGGGATCTGAGGGTGATCCGGAACTGGCTCAGAAACGCCGCAAAGGTTCGTAACGCGGCGAATAAGGCGGTGTCACTTTGCGGAGAGCTACCGAGGATCAGCCCTTGGCGGTACTCGGCTGGGCTCGGCTTGAGGACCCGTCACGGGCAGCGTGAATACACCGCGCCCTTCGCGCTCCCCCGGTCAGCAAAGCGCACCGGCACCATCGGGAGACGTGTGGGCTCGCGAGGTGACGGAGCGGAGGTGAACGTGTGCCCTCAGCCGCGTACTCTTCACTGTGAAACTACTACGAAGCATAAAGTCAAGGCAGCTGGACAGTGACGTCTCCTCAGATAATCAGCATCCATGTAGGGATGCTTTTGACGCTGCTGCACTTGGGCTTTTTGTTGCAGTGGTTTTTGGCTATGCTTAAAAGGTCATAGTACTTAATATTTTCAGTTGTTTCTGATCTAAACAGGTACTTTGCCCTAAAGTCCTTCATTCTTCAAGACTAGAAAAGCTATTTGCACTTTGCACACCATTAATCGATGCTCTGGAGCTTACCTGAGAGTGAGTGTTAACTCTTATTTTCATTATTCTACTGTAATGTTTCCTTGAGAAATATATTATTTCCATGAGAAATATATTTACTGTTTGTGGACATGCATTTATGCTGCGTTGTTAAGGCTTAATAACACTATTATTACAGATCTGGCACTGATTTAAGTCGCAAAACAATAGCCTGAAAAATGTTAACCTGATTTTCCATCAAAAAGAATGAAGTTTTGTGATTGAGTTATGTCAAAGGAACATAATTGGCCTGTTCCCTGTCATAAACATTTTGTACAATGTTTACTTACCTTGCCAGGGAACAGCTTTAGAGACGGGAGCCAAAATGTTGAAAATTATGGGGAAATTTTCAGCGAGTGCATTGAAGCCATCAAGTTTGTGCAATAAGGTAAACCTTCTCCCAGTTTTGATTCTTCATCTATGAGCAAGGGAAACACTTGGGTTATTCTGAGTAAACTTCTTTAATTAGGGTATTTGTTTCTGTTTGATTTTTTTTTGTCTTTAACAGCTGGCCTGTGGACAATGCATATTTTCATGTTGGAATGGGACTTCAGAATTGGGAATTGAATTTGTAATTTTTGTGTATTTTTTTGACTGCTTAACTCTTGTCATTGTTAAATTATTTACACAAATAATTAGATTTATTTAAAAAATTTTGGCTATTAAAAATATTTTGATATTGCTATAAATTTTTACTGAATATCTCAGATATTATGGGGATCAAATTTGGCTCAAACCTCAGTGTGGGCATCATCTTTAAGCATCTGCTCTTAAATAGTTAATGTTTCGATCTTATATAATACCTGACAATAATACTTGTTCTTGTAGATTTGTTTTTTCTGTTTATTTTTCTACAACACCTAAAAATGTTGTTACAAAGTAGCTTGTTGTAACAATAAACATTCTATACGAATCTTTTTTTCTTTCAAGTGCATGTATTTCAGAAATACGAAAATGAGAATCACGAGTGTGACACAGCTAAACTGCAGTCTGAGAAACTACAGTTCTCCACCAGGTATAAGTTTATGTTGTTTTCTTTATAGTAAGGATTAATTTTAAAGTGAGTAAGAATAAAAAATACTTTCTATTTCTGTATATTTCTGTCGTATTGTATTCTTTTGGTTATTCTCTATAGAATTTAGTACATGAATAGACCACTTACACGGCTCAAGGACTGAAGAGTTTTGTGTTGTTACTCTTTGCTGAGTAGATTCACAATATGTAGCCTTTAGAAAACAATAATAAGCAAAGGTACATGTTATAGGAAGTCAGGTCAGTTGTGAAGTGTGCTGGAACACCTCATTAAGGATTCCTGTAAGATGCTACTCTAATGTGTCTCTGATGAGACAGATGATCTGCAGGTGGTGAAGGAATGCTAGCTTAAATATTGTTGAATTCTGTGTGGCCTATCAAAGATGAACGAAAGTACTGTGAGTGTTCCTGAAACACAACTTCAATACCTTGAATAAATGAATTTGGGTTAGTTTCATTGACAACTTATTTTACATTGACAACTTATTTTACAGCTAAACTGTGTGAGAAAGAATCTATTTTGCAAGAAAATAGCTATTAAAATCTTCCCAGTGCCGTATTTTCTCAACACAGGTCAGCTTGCCTTTTATCCCTGAGAGTTATGCTGTATAGCTTTAAGGCTTAAAGGAGAAATAACTTTTCAAGTTTATCATCTATCACCAGTTCAGATGAATGTCAGCATTATAGTTGTCTTGAACTGAAGCATGCTTCTGCAGAGTAAGATGATGATCCTGTCCTGTGTTGGCTTTTTCCTGTTGTTTTTAAATAACAGCTGTTTTTTCAAGCATTTCTCATTTTTTTTGAGGTGGTGAGAGGTTTGTTTAAAATTAAGTATGTATCTTTAAAAATTTGAGGTGGTAGAGATTACAGATTATTGTGATTTGTGGCTCTGAATCTTTTTTTTCGAATAAGGATTTTAGAAGTTTTCTTAAATATACTTCTACATTTGCTTCTGTCTGAAAAGTTATTTCATTTTGTTTGTTTCCAGGAGATGTTAAGTCTCTGCATTCTGTCATTAATCCTCATATATCCAGGTACATCAAGCTAGTTTATTGCTGGGATGTAACTTCAGTCAGAGAAGATGAGATAAAGAATTGTAGGTTGTTGCCATGCCTGTCTCATGTGCATGTTTAATATAAAATTAGTACTTGCTTACTTCTACCCTTGAGACATTTCAATTTAGAGTGCTTGCTGGTGGCACAGAGGTCCTGTGTTGTCTCTGGTTTTCACCATCATAAACAAACCCAGGCTGTTAGGGAAGCTCCAAATCCACAGTGTTGCTGGGAGGTGAAGAAGGGGGAAGGATGTCTTGGCAACTGGACCACTGTGGTGGGCAAGTCTGTGTGCTTTGTGTTTATGGAAGCACTCTGCCATGTTACTTAAACAAGGGCAAGGCAATTAGGAGCTAAGCTGCCAAAGACATTGCCTTAGGGCTGAAGTTCCCTTGGAAGGCTGCTGAGGGTAGGGTGTACCTGAGCGTGAGGTCAAGCCAGCATTAATGGTGAACATGGGGGCTGATCACAAGCCTGTGCTGCGCAGAGCAAGCGAAGCAGTTCTGGAAGATACTGGTGAGGTACTTCAGGAAGAAAAAGTAGGCTGAACCAGATCAAGGACAACTTCATGGGAACTTGGATGTGCTGTATTTGGGGTATAAAGGTTTATATGCAGTAGGTTGTTTAGGATGCCAGGTGTCAGGGATTGTGATGGACATGAGAAGGGAGGGGCTGTTTCTGTTTGTCGGGAGGGCAGATGGATGAGCATGAGCCCAAAGAAGGGGCTTTCCATGAAGTGGAGCCTGGAAACCTGTTGCAACACTGTTCATTACTACTGATTTGAAGAAAATCCACCATATCAATACTGACATTCTTCAGTGTTAGAATGTTCACCATATCAGATATGCAGCAGAGGAGCAATGCTATTAACCTGGTGTGCTATTCTGGGGGAATATTAGCTATTTATGCAAATAAGAATTATCACAGGATTAAAGAATTACTGCACTAACCACAATGTTTTCACTTTATGCAGAATCCGAAACATTGGCATTATGGCCCACATTGATGCAGGCAAAACTACGACAACAGAGAGAATGCTATATTATTCTGGATATATAAGAACACTTGGAGGTTAGAAATGCTTTCTGTATTTCAATAGGTTTAAGAAATTGAATAGTGTACAATTACATGCAGTACAGTTGCTGGTGGAATACCTCATGTAGGAGGCAGTTGTTCCAAAGTTGTGCTGCAGTTTAAATGAATTTTAAGGCATGTTGCTTTTTTTATGTACTAAGGCAATTTTGATTTCAGTTATTAGAGGTTGATATTTTTCTTTTACTTTCAGCACATTATGTTTCGTTTAACATTTAATTAGAGAATCTCCTTATTTTTCTGCTTGCTCATTGGCCATTCTGGTAAAGTTTCTTGAGTTCTCTTTTGATATGTGAAGAAACCAGAGTAAGAAAATGTGTCCATTTCTTTTGAAAGCCATGGCACAGGAAGAATTCCTTGCTACACCAAGTTTAATAGAATTCTTCTAGTTTGAAATGGTCACAGCACCCTCTGTTTGTATTTCTTTTTGACCTTTTAAATTTTATACCCTGTTCTCTACTGTATATGACTGATAGAAGAAGTTAGGCTTGTGAATTGTGAATTACCCAATCCTGCTTCTTGTTTGCAGATGTTGATGATGGAGACACAGTGACAGATTTTATGGCACAAGAGCGAGAACGTGGTATTACCATTCAGTCTGCTGCTGTTACATTTGACTGGAAGGACTACAGAATCAATCTGATTGACACCCCAGGTACTGCACTTTAGTGGTACTCACATTATTAAGGGAGAGAGGATGAGGTGGAATGTTACGGAGTGTCTTTGTCTTAAATATGGTGCAAAATTTAATTGGTTTAATTGCATCAGTAAAAATGCCGATACTAAGCTTTGTTCAGCTTTGGATAATTATTGTTTGCTGATTCCAAATCTAGCTTATATAAAGTGAGCTCAGATGTTTCCACATTAAATTGTTCTCAGTTCTAGGATTGCATTATAATAATGATGTTTATTTCAAAGACTGATAGGTGTATTTCCCTGCAAGTAAAGAAAAAGTTGTTTTGACATTAATTGAAAGAAAAAAGTAATGTTTAAATGTGTGATGACCTGTTGATATTGCCTGTTTAAATTATGATGGTATAAAAGGAAGATTGTTTTTTAGGCCATGTGGACTTTACTGTGGAAGTTGAGCGTTGTTTGAGAGTACTGGATGGAGCAGTAGCAGTGTTTGATGCTTCAGCTGGTGTTGAGGTAAAATCAACTGTTAGATTTTTTGGGGGGGGGGATGTGTGTACAGTCAGTCATGGGAAAGGGGAGAGATTTTTCTCAAACCCTTTGTATTTGATTAGTCTGTCAGTTCCCCAGGAAAGGTGAGACCCTTGTGCCCAATTCAGTCTGTCAGTATCCTCTTCTGGGGACCCGGGGATCCTTCACTCAACAGTCCATGGATCTGAGTGTGGTTGAACTACCTTGTTTGGGGTCATATGCAAACAGAAAGACACCCTCCTGCAGTGGGTGGTCTTAATTGGTCTGTTGGTGCCTCAGGAAAGATCCAGAGACACATCTGCCAACAGCAGAAGAGAGACCCTGGGCCTCCACAGTGCAGTATGTTACCTGCTGCCAGCAACTTTTAGCACCCTTACAGGACTCGGGCTTAACAGTTTATGTAATAACACTCCTTGTTAATGTAATTGAAAACTCTGACAGGTTAATGTTAGAAGACTTCTGGTGACAGCATCTGGCTGCAAAAATGTCTTCAAAGCAGTATGCTAACCAGCTCTAATACCTAACTGGTGCTAGCTTGATGTAGTCATTCAGCATGGATAGAGCACAGTTCTTACCCAATAGATGTGACTGTGGGAATGAAGAAAAGCTCAGCATGTTGTCTGATCCCAGAAGTTCCCAGAAATCTCTAACTTCTCCCCATTTTTAATTTACTTTTATACTATTTTTGTGTTTAGGTGGAGCTTGAGTGACTGGAGTCATGCATCATGTTCAGTGGGGGGTGGTCGTACCTTGTAGGTGGGTAATATCAGTGTTACATCTGAGGTCACCTTTAAGATGGAGGTATATGTCTATGATCTTGCCATGGTTCCTGGTTCAGCAGCTAGATATCTTATTTTTTCTCCCTTGGTTGACAGCTGCTATGTGGCTGATCAGCTGCAAGGTGCCACCTTGAGTTCTCCCTTTTGCAAGGATTTCAACAGAGCCTGGACACAATGTCTCCACTCTGCTCCAGCCTCCATTTTGTCCCCCTCAGCATGTATTGTGTGTGGGAAATCGAGCATGCTGACCACAACCTATCTGGGAAGTAGCAAGTGCATTTCACCCTATAATTTCCACAGTTACAAATTCTGTTAGAGTGTTGTCTTGGTTTAGGGCAAATTTGGGAGAGAACCTCCAAATGGGAGTCCCCCCAGAAAAGCAAATTCAAGTGGCCCCTCCCCCAGCTGGTTTGGGAAAAAAGATTTCCTCAGAGAAAAGTGGAAAAAACCAGCTTATTTAACAGAAATTGAATAGTATTAAAAAATAAAACCTCTTGCTGTTCGATGAGATGGCAAATCAAGGAAGAAAAGTCCTTTTCATGTGGTGTAGCTCGGCCCGCTCACTTGTTTATCAGTCCCTCTGGCGCTGGAAAGTGCCAAGGCCCAGGCCCCGGTGGCCCACAGGTGTGAGCTCCCGGGGTTTGGCTGGGTTTTCAGTCCAGAGCAGGTTTGCACAGATCCAAGGAAAAAAGTCCAGTGAACTTCTCAGCTAGCTAAAAACTAACTAACTGTAAAAGAGAAGCTCTGTCCTGCTGTCTGTCCATGCTGCAGACACCACAGTCCAGGAGCTGCATGTGGGGGAGTGATGCTTTTCCTCAACACAAGCTGCAGCTTCTTCTTCCCCCCTTCACTCTCAGAGCCAGTCTTAAAGGTGCAGAATTTAATATGTAACATAAATCAGACAACTGTGGATACAAGTATCATAAAGTCACCCCAGGAGAAGGGTAAATATACCTTCCCAGTTTTCTCTGATTTTACTGCCAGTCACTCTCAGTTATTTTCCCACCATGTCTAATGACTTAAATTAGGCTGAAATAATGTATAGAGATATTTCTCTGTATTATCTTTCTCAATGCTTTTATCAAAATTCAGCTTCAGGAAGCTGAGCATGTAATTTTAAATCCTATGGTGCACAGAAATTTCCATGGTAGTAAGCAGCAAATAAGTGTGATTACCATTAGAAGTTTGGAATGTTTCTGTTGTTTTGTTGTTATCTTTTACAAATGTTGATTGAGGTGAATACTTCTGCTTAGCTCCACAAATTGAATGAAATTAATACCTGTCAATTTCTCATTTTCAGGTTTTATGTAGAAAATAGGTAATTTTCAGGCAGGTTTTCTCCATCCCCAATGGTTCTTTTAACAGAGTGCAGAAAAGGTGGAGGCAGGCTAGGACTGGACTTCTTATAGTGTGAGATGTTTAAGTAGTTCAGTCCTGTAGAAAAGTTGCCACTATGCCTGCATGCCCTTAGTGCAGGCAAGGTAATGACAAAAGATGAGAGACAAGACAAAGCTGTTTGCAGACTTAATCTGTGATGCTAGATATGGGATTGTCACAATACACAGCACAGTTCCCTTCTCTACTCTGAGCTAGGACCTTCAGCGGTTGTGGGGAGCATATAGCTCAGCTGTTGACACTGTTTCCATTTTGTCTTTGGCTTTAGGCACAAACTCTGACAGTGTGGAGGCAAGCGGACAAATACCAGATACCACGGATTTGCTTTTTAAACAAGATGGACAAAAACAGGGCAAGGTATTTAGGCAGTTATTTTAATAATTGCTAAAAAGCTTGTAAGAGAATGCCTAGCATTTTCCAATTAAGCATAGAGCAACCCAGTTAATGTCAATACTTACTAGATGTTCCTTTGGTTATGCAAATGTATGTTTTTGTGTAATTATAGGAGTAATTTTTGCAGTAAACAGGGAATGGTGAGCCTGTTTTACTGATATCATAAGGTTTTGTGTAACTCAGTATCTGTTCTTCTTCTGTAGTTTTACATATGCTGTTGAGAGCATAAAACAAAAGTTGAAGACAAAACCTTTACTATTACAGGTAAGCTTAGAAATTAAATGCTTGTTTCCTTTCTTTTGAATGGAACTCCTTTGTTAATTTTTTTCAGCTGTCTAAAATCTCCATTTTATTTGCAGTTGCCCATTGGGGAAGCCAAGACCTTCAGAGGACTGGTTGATGTTGTGACTAAGGAGCAAATAATGTGGAAACCTACTTCTGATTTGGATGATGGAAAAATTTTTGAGCGAAAGCTGCTGCTGGAGACTGACGATCCAAACCTGTTTCAAGAAGTCCAGGATGCAAGAAATACCTTAATAGAACAAGTAAAGTTCTAAAGTAAATACATAATACATTTAAAACCATTACCCAGAGTAGTAGGAAAAATAGACTGAAAGGGACCTCTGGAGGTATCTGGTTAAGTGATCTGCTTAAAGCAGGGCTGACTTCAGCATTAGGTGGACTTGTTCAGGCTTGCTGAGTTTTCAAATCAAAGGATGATGAGTCTCTGTAGGCAGCCTGTCCCAGTGCTTGATCTTCATTTCTTAATGTCCAATGAAGTTTTATTGTGTCACAAGCTGGCACAGGCATGCTGGTGCTTTTGTTACGTACCTCTGAGGAGAATCTGATTCTGTTTTCAGTGGCCTGAAGTAGGGCCACTATTTCAAATAGTAAGAGACAGTATTTGCATCGTGCTTCAGCCTCTCCAAGACAGACAAACCCATCTCTTTGGGCCTCCAGCTGCGCTCCAGCCCTGTTAGTGGTTTTCCAGTGGAGTTCCTGCAATATGTCAGTCTCTTTTGTGCTGGGGAAGCTAAAAGCAGACAATGTCTTAGATGTCTTGTTTTTACTGTCTTAGATGCCAAAGTATAGTTGGTACATTCACAAGAAGCGTGACAGATGTGACTTGAAACCTGCAGGGTATCCATGGTCCTCTAAGTGACAGCTAGAAGCTGGATGGGATGTTGCAGCCTGGTCAAAATGGCACTAAATGCTGTGTTAGAAGCAGCTCAATCTAATCATAAATCAATCCTTTTTGCTGGAAGGGCTGCCTTCCACACAACTTTGAATAACACTGTGGAAGTGCATAAACAGATGATGCTAGCTTTCCATTTCCTTTGAAATCAGAGAGATCTGTTTTATATTGTACTGAGTTCAGTAGAACATACACACAATCTGGTTTTCAAATTTAGTAGGTTTTAAATAGCAATGTTAATACCCAGCCTTTTATCTTAGGAAAATATATTGTCAGATAGAAAGGTTTGTAAGAACAGCATTAATTTTTTTCCCTTTGTTTTCTGGGTCCTTCCTGAAGGAGGAAGGGGTGGACCAGTAGTGTGATAATTGAGATAACTTTGTGTTTGTAAAATATTTTTCAAAATGCATTCTATGCTGTTAATATTCCTTATCAGAAACCCTGTAAAATGTAGCTTTTTGAATACTGGCCCTTTCGCACACTTCACTTTCACTTAATTAAACAAACTATTTCCTTTATCTCTCACATTTTAACTATTAACTTGATAAGACTTCTAGTTGGTTATCAACTAGTTTATTTCAGAATTCGGCCAATTGATGTTATAGCCAATAGAGGGGGCAAAGTGCTTTCCTGTGCTTGGGTGTCCTGAGTCTGTGACAGTGCAGGGATGTATGTGAGATGTTTAAGGAGTTAAGTTACATGTCAAGCTAACTGGGATAATTTGAAAACAGAGACATGCTCTGGGACCTACAAACCCTTGACATGAAGAAGGCCAAAATGCCCTGATGCTTGTCTGTTTTTTCCTGCTCAATATCTGTTGGCTTGCAAAGGTTGCTTGCTGCTTACTTCAGACTTCCCCGTGTTTTCAGGACCAAAGTACATCAGTTAAACTCTTCATAGCTTTCACTGTGTGGCTGGAGGTTTTTTCCATTTTAGGGAGAAAGCATCCTCTTTCTCAATGATGTTTTGCTTGACAGCAACTTTATAAGTGGGTATTTTTCCCCCCATCCTTTCTTGAAGCCTTCATTTCCATAATTTTAAATTATTTGAGTTTATAATTACTGATGTCTTTAAAGGCTTTGTTCCTGCTGTATTTAGCTATATATCCTAAGTAAGTAAAATATGTAGTTTTCTGTGAAACTGCTGTATGCCAAATAATAAAAGAACTGCTCTGTTGAAGGTTGCAGATCTGGATGATGAATTTGCTGAACTGGTTCTAGGAGAAAATGGTGAAAATTTTGACTTAATACCAGCTGACAAGGTATTTTTTACATTTCCAAGTATTTACTAGCTCTCATTGCAAGGGTTTGGGTTATTCTTCCTTTGACACATGCAAATTATGATTTTGCAGATTTTTCAATAAAAGAGATCACGTTATCTTATGTAGTAAATTAACAGTAGTATGGATTTAGAACAGAATATGTTTGGAGTTAGTAGGAATGTTATAAAGATGGGCTATGATTCTTAGGCATGTTAGGCATAATTTTAAAAGTTGGGTACATTTATTCAGGAAGGTGGGGTTTTATTTTTTTTGAAAGTTACACTGCTGTAAAAGAGTTCAGGGAAACTTTCAGATAGACTTATTGTAGTTTGTGACAGAGCTGCTGATTCTCATCAACAGAAATAGCATGTCAGCTACTTTGGAATGGTTGGAACTTTAGACACTGCATGTTGAAAGTAGTGAGTTACAACATACTGAATTAAAAGGACTGTTATAACAAGAACAGCAGATTTGTGTGAAATGTTTAGGAATCTTAAAACCAGTGTCTTCTGGTTAAGGATCTAAATGTTTGGGTTTATGGTTTGGACCTTGTTAAAAAGCAGTGAAAGGAGTTTGGATGAATGATATTATATTTACAAACATACTTTTTAGCTTTTTGGGGATTAGTTAGCAGTATCTCATAGTTGGGGTGCAACTTAAGGCTAAATTGTAGATCATGTGTTAACAGAAAATAATTATTTTTTTGCAGTTGCAATCTGCTATCCGCAGAATCACGCTAGCTCAGAAGGCTGTCCCTGTCCTCTGTGGCAGTGCACTGAAGAACAAAGGGGTGCAGCCATTACTGGATGCTATTACTCTGTACTTGCCTGCACCTAATGAGCGTTCACATGAGTTTCTGTAAGTACAGATAGAAAAGGAGATTCAGAAGAAAAGAAGGAAAAATAAGTATGAAAACACAAAAGGAGAAAAGAACTATATTAACAAAGCACTCATATTATTTAAAAGTATTTACCCTCTTTAGGTATTAAATAATAGTAGACATGTGTGGACAGAAGAATACACTTGAGTACTGTACCTGCTTTGGTCAGTTCTTCCTGAATTGGATGCATTTATTTCCAGTTGTCAAACTTGCACTTTGGAATTCTTAAGTCTTTTTTAATCTGAGGACATTTTCATTTTACATAAATGTGATCTAGGAATCCTGTTTAGTACTGTCTGAATCACGTAACATCTTACACGTCTTACTGGAGCTGGAACTACTTAGTTTATTATTTTTCAGTACAAATTACAGTTTCTGAAAATCTGCCTCCATTAGCATTGCAGTAAGAAACATCATCTCGTAAATGAGTGAAAATTTAGGTAAATGTCAGTATGAGTGGATTAATCCTACAGGTATGCATTTTGTTGTGCTTTTTATTTTGCAGACAGTGGTACAAGGATGACCTGTGTGCCCTGGCATTCAAAGTTCTTCATGATAAATGTCGTGGACCACTAGTTTTTGTTCGTGTTTACTCAGGCTCATTGAAACCTCAGTCAGCTGTATATAATATTAACAAAAGTTGCACGTGAGTAAGATAGAGGTGTGGTTCAATGTAGCATTGGGATGCCTGTTAAAGTCCTGAGTAACAGAGAATTTAATTTTCAGAGAGAGAATGAGCCGGCTGCTCCTGCCTTTTGCTGATCAGCAAATTGAAATACCGTCACTAATGCCTGGCAACATTGCCTTGACTGTTGGGTTAAAACAGGTAATGAAAAATACTTATACTGTAAAGGAGCTTGTTTTACGAGTTTGCTTTCTACTTCTATGATAGTGTATCTCAGATGTGTTCTTCATTATGGTGATATATATAAACTTGCTTTATTTGAAGTACATTTAGATATACTTCCTCCAAAATTAAATACCACAGTGTGCAAATACCAGTAATTGACTTGGAAACTGCAGTGCTGATTGGAAAGGACTGAAAGCTGAAGTTGTATGTTAGGGTTTGAGCGTGTATTAATACTGTAACTTTTAAAATACAGTGTAATGTCACAGAGACCTCCTGTGGGGAAGGGGAATGATGTTCCGAATCAGTTAGCCAAAAGCAAGTTTCAAGTTCAAATAAATGTGTTTCATGCTTCTTCTATTAGTTTAATAATTTGTTACTGACTGTATAGGCTGCATGAATCTCATTTGCAGAGATTTTCTAAAATGTGTCCAGCTTTGGCATACATTTTGAGTTTGGGGATTTTGGTTGTTTTTTTTTTTCACATCACTTCCTGTGTTGATCTATAGAGTGCCACTGGAGATACCATAGTGTCATCAAAGGCTTCGGCTATCGCTGCAGCACGCCGAGCTGGACGGGATGCTGGGGAAAAGAAGAGGTCTGTGAGTGGTGTAGACAGTCTTCTGCTGGCAGGTGTTGAGATCCCTGAGCCTGTCTTCTTCTGTACCATTGAACCGCCTTCAATGGCCAGACAGCAAGGTACAATGCAGCCACCTAGCTGGATGAGTGAGTTGCACAAACTTCATGGCCAGTGATCTAGTGGTTCTTTCTGGTGCTTTTTATACTGATGGCATACTTCAGATCATGATTGTCCATATCCTTTGCTATCACAGTGTCAAGCAGTAGTGGTATGACTTGTGACAGAATGGAGTAAGGTAGAAAATGTGTCTGCAGGCTGAACCACTGGGTTATAAGGTGTTACTGATTTTGTGGTGCTTGGATGTTTTAGTTTGCTTTTGTTTGTTTGCTTTTGTTGCTTTTTTCTCCCACAAAAACTGTAAAGTATGATTAATGCAGTCTCAGCTCTTGGTTCATCATTCTGCTGCTTTCCTCAGCAGTTAAGATAATGGAGAACCAGAAAAAAACCCAAAACCCTGTATAAAAAACTGTGCACATTTTCATTTGGACCATTTCATGTCAAACTCATCTTGAAATATTTAAGTAAATCATGTAACAATTGATATTTTCCTTATCAGTTATTCACCGACTTCATGAATTATTTGTAGGTTCCAGTCTTTCTTCATAGAAGCACACAATATCACTCTGAAAATAGTATGTATCATAATTAAATTAGTTAACTGTAGCACAGTTAATTTGTGGGATAAAATCAGAAGTTGCTGGTTACTTGTAATTTGAGCTGACTTTGCCAAAATCTATGCTCCTCTAGGATCTTTTTTGATTGTTTTTAGGAAAGTGATATTTAGGCACTTACTCTGATCTTCAAATTATTAAATAAACTTCAGATATAATGTTTTATATTTCCGTACAGACTTGGATAATGCATTGAGTTGCCTTCAGCGTGAAGATCCAAGTTTAAAAGTGAAGCCAGATCCTGACACAGGACAAGTAAGATGAATCTTGTATTGCTCATCTTATAACTATTATTTTAGAACATCAAGACTGCACTTGAGTTAGTTCATCTGCATATTGAGATTTTCTTTAATAAAAAGGACTCTCTGAATGTTCCTATGATACACGTACAAGGTTCTGTGTATGAAACTAAAACAGAGTCTTGCACACTTGTGCTTTACAGAATGGAGGACGTCACCCCATGCTCTGCATGTTTTTGACAATTCTGTATTTAAAAAAGTTTGAATTACTTAGTTTTTAAGGTTAGGTAAGATTATCTTTTTTATGGTAAGCATAGCACTGGTAACAACTCTCTCACTTAAATGGTGTTTATGTCAGATGTCTTAAAGCAATGTATTTCTGTAGAGTCCTTAGAATTTGGAGTATTATGGCCGTTAGAATTAGAAGCATTTGTTCTTACAAATTAGAAGTATGCAAGTCCTTGCCTAAAGAATTTGTATTAAAACCTGAGTTTTGCATGTTTTTCCACTTCCCTCTTAATTATCTTCTCACCAGACTATCCTCTGTGGCATGGGAGAACTACACATAGAAATCATTCATGACCGAATCAAACGTGAATATGGAATCGAGACTTATTTGGGACCTCTTCAAATAGCATACCGAGAAACCATCTTAAATGCAGCCCAAGCTATAGGTAAAATGAGTAAAAGGAAGGAACATCTTTTTTTCAAGCTACAAGCTTTTGTAGCTTGATTTACTTTAAGCAATACATGAGTAACTTTCAGATGATTTTTATGTATTATTTTTTCCCTCCCCCCACAGATATATTGGACAAAACAGTAGGTGATAAACGACACTGTGTAACTGCAGAGGTAGAGGTGAGGCCCAGGTCAGGAGAAGGAGCAACAACAAAACCCATCATCAGCTATGCTGAGAATGTCAGTGAAGTACTGCCGAAAGAACTCCAAGGAGCTGTAGAAAATGGAATCACAAATTCATGTGTTCAAGGTAAAGGAAATGCTCTGTCAGCTATACTGGTCCAATATTTTTGTAAGAAGCAATTTTCTAGAAGGAAAAGCTGCTTGGTAGCTTGAAAACTAAAAGATAGTACATATACGTGTGACTAACATATACGTAAGGTGTGAAATGTCTTCAAATACAAAAGTTGCCAAACACCTTTTTCTCTATGCCAGGAATGGAAGTCAGTGTGTCTTTGGTTTGCTTTTAAGGTTGATGTCTTCTCAGTCACTCAACAGTGACCTTGGAGTTCTTTTAGTTTATTTTTTTAATCTGGTATAAGAGATAAGGCATTTACTTTATGACATCATGTAAACCATAGTGATATAACAAAAATGGTTGCATAGGCTAGCATGTGTTACACTTCCATTACAGTTGCTAATGAATTTTTTTATTTTCAAATATGTTAAATCCATGAGTTTTCAGTAAAAAGCTTTACCTAATTGCAAAGTGTGCATTTGCTAAAGGACTAAAAGTGTCCTTGACTTTTGATTAAAAACAAGAAGTCTTAAGTAACTTACGGGCAGAAAAGTGCCTTACATTAAAATCAATAGGTAGTGGATTAACAAAGGAGAATTTCCCTTTCAGAACCAGCATGAAGTGATTTTTCAAAGTAGTTTTGTGGAATTTGAAAGCATCTCCCATCTTTGGCTGTGGAATCTCTTAGCCATGTGCTTTCTTTATGCTTCTTGAAGAAACATCAGAACTGTGCTGTCTCTAGCCTAAAATTGATGCCATTAAGTGCCTTAAAAAAATAAACGTGTTCTCTGTTAAAAAAAAAGTTATGTTTTTTTCCTCAGATGTGGTTCAGGCCTCACATTTAGTCTAACACAGTTTGGTCTGTTTGAGAGTCCTGTGTTGGAGGGAGGTAATCTGCCTAGGACACTAATTTATCCTTTATGGAAGTGAGTTAGCCTTGGAGTTTTGGTTATGTGTTAGTATCAGGCATTGCTGTGATTATATTGTGTTCAGAAGGAAAATACAGAAAATATTCTGGCTTCTGGTTAAACAAAAGTTTTCCCTACTTTTTCAAATGATCTCTTGTTCAAGAGACTAGTTTTAGATAATAAAATGTATCTAAAAATAACTTTTTGGTAATGGCTGTCTGGATGAGTACATTCAGGAGCTTCAGGTTCTGAAAATGATCTGTGCTTTTGATAAAGAGAGTGAGAAAATATGTGTCTGCATTCCTTTGCCAAAAGTGACAAAGTTAGATAATGACAAAACCTCAAAATGAGGAAAAGTAGCCACATGGGGGAAGGACAGGGAAGGAAAGAGCAAAGTGAGAAACTTCAAGTTAATTCTGAAAAATTTTTGCATGCGTCTTAGTATTCTGAAAAACAAATACTTGTTTTGTTTTTATTTCAATTTTTATCTCTTCTCTATGGCGCTGCCCAGGACCTCTGTTGGGATTCCCAGTTCAAGATATAGATGTGACTGTGCAATCATTGACAGTGCACCCGGACACCTCGCACACAATGGTATCAGCCTGTGTCTCCCGTTGCATGCAAAAGGTACAGTAAAACTGTAAGCTGCTGTTAACGCAGTAGCATGATAGACTGCTGGGAAAACATATGTGTATCAATATCTGGACATTGTTCCTCTTTGTATGCCCTTGAAATGCCCTTGCTGGGAAATTTATAGCTTTTGCAAGTGGAGAGTTTGAGTCCGCTTCAGTGATTTAAGTACTTACATCAATTTAGAAAGACTCCATAAGAGTACATCAGCATAACTTCCTTCCTTTCCATGTAGGCTTTGAAAAAAGCTGGTATACAAATACTGGAGCCCCTGATGAACCTAGAAATCACAGTAAGTGAAGATCATCTCAGTGCAGCACTTGCTGATCTTGCACAGAGGAGAGGTAATATTCAGGAAATCCAGTCCCGTCAAGATAACAGAGTTGTGGTCGCTGCTGTTCCACTAGCAGAAATGATGGTATGTGATTACCTTACCAATGGTAAAATTCATCTTTTTTATATTCTTTAAAATATTTGACTTCATTTAACTTTTCCTTTTGCCATGGATAAATAAATTTAGAATGGATTTTTAAAATTGTATTTTAATTATTGAAGGTTGGAAGTGCCCACAAATTGAGTAGCTTTTTTATGCCAAATTCAGATTATTAAACCAGCATGTGTTCAGCTGTTAAGTAAGATAAGTAGTAAATACTACTAAAATACTACTAAAATAGATTTTATGGAGAACAAAAAAGGTTTTACAATAGGTTTTACAGGGAATAAAAAAAGATTTTATTGACTCATGCATGTATTGCAATTCTAATGCAGTAATATTGGAAAGTTAACTTACTAGTATACTAGTGTAGTATATATAGTATAGTATAGTTGCTATACACTAGTATATTTCTGACACTCCTTTTCTCTCTCTCTGTGGTCTAAGCAGCTTCTGTGCTAACTTATCTTCCCGTTATCCTAATTTGAGTGATGTGTGTTCTCCATTTTTTCCAGGGCTACTCAACAGTTTTGCGTTCTCTAACATCAGGCTCAGCAACCTTCACATTGGAGCTTGCCAGTTATAAAGCTCTAAGCAGTCAAGAGCAAAGTGCACTTCTTCAGAGGAGGATGGGAAATCTCTAGGAACAGTGTTTTCTATCCTCCTGTTAAATATTTTCGTATGTACACCAGTGTGTTTGTCTGGGACCAACTGGTGATGGCAAATAATGAGTTAGCAGCTGTACGAACAGACTGCTTTTAACTGTCCAGGGAGGAAGCTTCAAAAGACTCAGCTCAGCTGGCATAACCTTGTGATTGCAATGCAGGGATGCAACCACAAGTTGTCGCTTTGCAAATTCTTATCTTGCGGACATCTGAAATGAGAAGTGATGCAAATCGTTTTCATAGAAATGAGCATTAAGTCCATCTTAATGTGTCACTGGGACTGTTTTCCTAATCTAGTAAATAAAGTTTGTGAAATTTCTATCTATCACTGAAATAACTTTACAGTTTCAGCATTCTGTATCTTGATTTGTTTTCAGCTGTATGAAAGGATATGGTTAATAAGCACTTTACACTGTACAAATTACATGTGCTAGTTTTACTGGTAAAAACCAGGTATGAACCAGAGTTCAGGACTGGGTGTAATTTCTACCTGAGTTTAGCAAGTGAAACGGATACTTCTGCAAATCAAGTAAGAGCTGTGCAAAAAAGAAAAATACAAGAAAGGCGGTTTTTCCATGACAGTAATTCTTACCTACCACCCTGCACTAGGTTGAGAAAGGGTTGGCTTGTTTGTTTACCTTAAGGAATTAGTGAATTAATCTGTAACGGTTCTGATTTGCTATGGGTTGCAATTATCTGGTGTCTTAAAAAAGTGGCAAGTGATACTTAGAAATAAAAAAGATAGTTTGCTCCTAATTTAAATAGTATCTTAGCTTTATTCTTCAACCTCAGTGAAAGAAAATTAGTAACTGGAATTAGTAACTCTATGGTATCAAGTTTCATGACTTCACAGTGAAGAACCCCTATTTCTGAAAGGTTAAAAACAATCATTTTTACTCCAACAAGGCTGTCAAATAATTTTATTTTAAAAGTGAAAATTTAAAGTCTTGATTCAGATACAAAACCACATGTACATATTCATACCCCAGAGGCACTTCAGGCTGTTCACAAGAAGTCTTTGCAGCAGTTATGGCCCTCTTGCTTCATGGGCACAGTATCCAACAAACACTGGCTCAGCTGCTATGCCACGGCTGTTAAAATAAAGCAGAATGGATATGACTGTAATCAAACAACTGACTGCTTGTGCAGGCAGGAAGACAGATACTGGCAATCTATTTTAATAACTATATAAACAAAACTACTCCCAAGAAACAACAGCCGGCCTATTTAGGGAGTGAAAAAGGCCCTATTCTACTTTTGATTGTACTTTTGATTGAAACTCTGTTTCAATCAAAGGCACCAAGCTATTAGCAGAGACCTTGTAAAGCTTAAATTCAGGGGCTAGTTCTTTTTGATGTTCCGCAAAATCTATTGCTTTTATTAAAAAGAAGTCATAAGAAAGGCAAATATAAATCAACTGACATTTACACATTCTCCCATCTCCCAATATCAATGTTTCCTTCATATGCAGCTCTAGTTCCATAATTTTCATTATTTCAGGGGGAGGAGTCAGAGTTTATTTCAGCTGACACTCACAAATTATTCTGTTCTCATGTGGCATTAAAAACTGGCTTATGATGGTGCAGTAAGACAGTATGAAAACATGTTTCAGAGTTAAAGTAGTTGTAAACAACATTCTATTTCTCAAACATTTTAAGACATAGATACTCCCGCTACTAATGTTTAAAAATGGTGCAGTGAAAGAAACGGAATAATAGTTTGCTGAATGATTGCTGCTGCTAAGCAAGACATACTCTTAGTAAAGACAAGGTTTGGTGTCTAGGTCTCTGGAATATATGTCTCTGGAATATATTCTTGTTTCCTTTCTCCCATCACCATTTCTCTGCAATCTGGTCTGCTGTATCATAGAAGGAGCTGAGTTTAGATCTGAATAGTACCTACTGCATTCACAGTACTATTTCAAGAGCAGTGGCCTCACTCTTCAATAGGCAGAGTTACTGTTCTTCCAGTGACTAGTATATAGCTGTTACAACATGCTACCTATCCATTTTCTTTGCTCCCTGGTAACCTGCAGCAGAACAAGCCAGAGCTGTCAGTTCTCTTGGAAAAGCCCCTTGCCCTGCTACAACTGCCACAATCTGTGCATATGTGATGAGTAAAAAAATTAGTAGGAACATAGTCCTTGCATATATGCTAAGACTACAGCAGCCTGATACCAAGTCAGCTCTTTGAGGAAGCCCCATATACATGAAATGTGACAAAAGCAGCTCCATGTAATGTTCATTTCATCACTGGAAAGGGAATGGTTTCTCTAGTGTTTTTCTGGTTCAAAACCTGTCTAAAAAGAATCATTTTCAGGACAACATACCTTTTTTATTAAGGTAGTTACTTTCTAACAGGAATTGTTCATCCTATGCCAGCAAAGCAGTTTTTCCTTAGACTATCTGCTGCTAAATATGTACAACAAGTACAGGGAGTAGTCCTTAGTCTGCCCCTGCATTCTGCATCTCTTATGCCAGCAGTAGCAGAGCAGCTGCTGTCATCTGGACCAGTTCCCTGTACAACAATACAAGTACCAGTGTTAAGGAAGAAGATGCAGATGCAACAGTGAAGTCAATCCAGGTCCGGGAACAGCATAGTTTAGTTCACTGTAGAACCCTAATCCTAGTGGCACAGCCACTGTACACTTAACTGTTCAGCTGTAGCAGTGTTTTCCTGAGCTCCACAAAGAGATGCACCAACCTGCTAAGTAACAGGACAGAAGTTTTGAAATCCCTATAATCTTGCTTTTAACATGTATTTGTCAACTCTCTTAATATATCTATTTTTCTCATGACTGTAGGAGATATCACAATTTACATACAGCTATTTTCCTACATCATTATTTTAAATTAGTTTGAAATAACTCAGTTAAGTCAAAACTTTCAAGTCCTTCAGTCACTCTTGATTAAAGAGTGACAGTAAGCTAAACATATACTATATACTCTAAAGTGACTCCAATGGATAATCATGCTAAGATATCTACATGTCTCATGAACATGAGCAAAGAGCTTGAGTTTCAAGTGCTGACTGTAACTGCTACTGTATCTGCCTTGAACTACTACCACACAGAGTTGAGATTTTCAATGAGTTGTCATAAACTTATGTAGAGAAACAAAATGGTATGTTTCATGCTTGCTGCAGTTCAACTATCCAGCTCTCTGACTGTATACTTCAAAAGTGGAGTCAAACTTGGACTTAAAACCTAGAAATCACTCATATCTCTGAATGTAAAACTGTGAATGTAAAAAAAAAACATTAGCAATAAATAACCAGTAACTTGTCTAGGTACATTTTAGGAAAGAACTGGGAGAAGAATGTTATTGTTACTGTAAACAAAGTCACTTTATAAATTAATTAAAATTTCTCATGGACTGCTTATCCACCCCTCTCAGCCTCTAAAGTAAGGCAACACCTGAAAGAATAGCTTGCCCAAGTTCAACTCTCATGCAAACAGCTCCAATAGATTACCTGCTGCAGGTCATTAATTATAAACATAATAAACAATAACACCACCTTTTTTTTTAGAAGTCTGCTTTTCCTTCTGTCAGTGCATTCTTCCCACATACCCTTTAATATAATTTTTGTCTGAAATAACTCAATCATGGTGTTTTTCCTTTACAGGAAAGAAAAACACAGATGAGTCCTAGTATTTCACTGAAAGGGAGTTCTAACCATTTTAGTTGCAAAACTGTCCAGAGCTCCTGTCTTAATGTATCTGTCTTCCTCTTCAGTGGCTACAAAACCAAATGGGATTGCATTTACTGTCAGGTTAAACTGCTAGCTCTTTTCCCTTCATCTCCAGACCAGGAGTTCATGCCTGTACCTTTATTCCATTGGTTATAAAACCCGAGAACCAAGATACACTGTAGCTACTAAATCTTACCGGAGCATGCGGCATCGATGATTAGTTAGCCTTTTGTAGGCATCCTGCAAGTTGGTCACATTACTGCTGCTCCAGAGTCTTTCCCCAACAGCACTTGCTCGAGGCCTGTAAAGGTATTCTTAGTTTTAGAGTAGGTATGGTCTATAACCCAGAATGGTTAATTATTTTTTTTTTAATACCAGGTCTAATATAATACTTTAATACCCAGAGGCATTAATTTGCATAGCTGCTTAGGTTCACCACAGAGCATTGTTACCACCAGCATACAGTCCTGTGGGATTAATTAATGCTTCTTGTAGCTGTCTTTTTAAAATCTAATGTAGAAGCAGTCCATACCATAATCTTGGTGTCAGGTTAGTTGCATCCACAAACTCCCCCCATAGGCAGGCTTCTCCGCCTATTAAAAGTTTCTTCTGTTTTTCAGATCCTGAATTCAAAGCAGAAAGTCAGCATTTCTCTCTGTCCAGATGATGGGCATATATCAACAGATATATAGATATATCTATATATCTAATATAGATACATCTATATAAATATAGATATATTTATATTCAGTTGTTTTCATATAAAATATCTACCCTGAGCAGTTAGTTACATTTTGATAGTCTTGTTACTGAATGTGAGAACCACCAAGCATTTGCCCTGAGGAGACATTTCTCTGCTCTGTCAGAAAGATTTACCTTTCATGCTTTGAAGAGATTCCTGTTTTTTGACATTTCTCAGGGATTTAAATCCTGATAAAAACTGTTCATTCTATCACACGCAGAATATTCCTTGAAAAAATTACTTAGTTGAGTATTCTTAATGAGCTCTGAGAACTCCCTTTCACAAAATGAAAGCCCCAAGCAAGTGTAAAAGATGTTTGTATCAACTTTAGATACAGGGAGAGAACATGCCTTTTTCTCCATCAGTTTAACACTCATGAAGCTTGGGAATATAAATTCAGTGTCTATCTACAAACAACCATTTTGCACAACTCTGCTCCTATAGCGTCTGCCCACCTAGTCCGGCATTCTATCTTATGCAAATACCAGTATCAGACGCTTGAGGAAGGTAACACCTTTCCCTGTGAGAAGTGAAAGTTCCTTTTTTTTTTTTCTTTAACATTTAAGT